ATATATATACATACATACATACACACACACACACACACACACACAACATTAATAGTTACATAAACATGACGATAGATAGATAGATTAGACATTATTAAATATTGAGTATTATTAAATTAAATGTTTATATTACATTTATAATGATTTATAATTGCTACTATTATAATTAATAATAATTTAATCTTGTTTAGACTTGTGTTCAGTAAGTAAAATTATTAATATGTTTTTTTTATGTTAATCAAAACAACCATATCCATTAAATTCTGATTGGTTGATTGCATTCTGCACTTTAAATTGAAATCTAACACTAAACTGTTTTTGTTTTTCCAGGCAATTGATGTCCCTCATAACCGAGCTGGTTTCATTTCTCTCGTGTAACTTTCTCTTTCTTCTCACATATTGAAAGACATTTAACCTAAATCAATATTTCATATCCATTTATTTATTTATAATGTAAAGTATTATATTGCATTGGGGTCCTGATCACCTTGTCTGGGTTTATTTTAGGTTCTAAAACTTCTAGAAAGGATTGTTTAAACAAAATTCTCCTTTTTACGTCACAAATTTATTCCGCTGATCATTTAATGCGTCCTAAAAATGTTTTTATTAAATTATAAAATGCCAAACTAAAGCATTTCCACAAGCGTTCTCATATTTTTAGACACTAACATAGTTCATAGGACGCTTCAGGTCTCATTATACTGTAGCATCTCTCCCGTTTTAATGAACACCAGCAGAAGTCCGTTAAAGAAAAGAGCGTGCTGGCCTGGCGCCGAGACCCCCATCACCCGGTGCTCTTTTGTTCTCTATAAGACGGTAACGATGACTGAACGGCGCAGCGGATTGATTTACTCATTGATCGCGTGAAGGCTCTTTGTGGCCGCCGCATCCACTCTGGTGCACAAACAGCAGAACATGCACATGTATGTGATGAGCCTGAGAGCTCTGATAAAGGCGAGGAGTTCCTCTGGGACGGGTGAGTGGAGGGAGTCGACCGCCACCTTAAGAAAAGCCCTAATTGGAGGACCTCCGTCTCCACACCTTTTCACGCCGCCTATTCCGTTCTCTCCAGCTCTCCCCGACAACAAGGATGCAACTAATAGCTGCCCTAATTAAGGGCTGGATAGAAAGTCAGCGGTCACGATGGTGTGGAGGCGGGGAGGGATCAGGCCAGCCGTGGCTTTTGTCCAATGCCCTTCTCACTAGGGCTGTGGAGGTGTGAGCATGTAAGGGCACAAGGGCTAGCTGTTCATGCAGGAAGTGTAGCGGAAGTGAGATATTTTTTACAGCTAATCAACACTTGCACCATTCAGCTCTGCATTTTTGATCAACATTCATGTTGCTGAGCTACAGTTGTTGAAAGCCTCAATAGAGATACTGAATATTAAGTAAAGTTACTTTCATGATACTGGCGGACTGTTAATGAATGTATGTCTGAGTAGGCAATTTATAATTGGTATGGACCTGGATTTTTTTTATATAAAATATCTTATAAAAATATTTTATAAATGAAAAGTGAAAGTGCAGTTGTAAAGTCAATGCTGGACACTTGTTGACTGCTCTTCGTTTTACTCTCTGGTCTAATACATTAAATAAATTAGCATTCGAACGTTTGTAGTCAGTAAGATTGTTTTAAAGGGACTTTAATTAAAAAAAAAAAAAGTTCATGATTCAATCATAAGAAAGCGACTGGGCAAAAACGGCATCCACGGAAGAGTTCCAAGGCAAAAGTCATTGCTAACCAAAAAGAACACAAAGGCTCGTCTCACATTTGACAAAAAATATCTTGATTATCCCCAAGAATTTTGGGCAAATATATAAGACAAAAGTTGAACTTTTTGAAAGGTATGTGTCCCGTTATATCTGGCGTGAAACCAACACAGCATTTAAAAAAAAAAACATCATACCAACAGTCAAACATGGTGGTGGTATGTGTGATGGTCTGGGGCTGCTTTGCTGCTTCAGGACCTGGACGACTTGCCATAATTGATGGAACCATGAATTCTGCGCACTATCAGAAAATCCTGAAGGAGAATGTCCGACTGTCACTTTGTGACCTCAAGCTCAAGCGCACTTAGATTATGCAGCAGGACAATGATCCCAAACACACCAGCAAGTCCACCTCTGAATGGCTCAAGAAAAACAAAATAAAGGTTTTGGAGTGGCCAAGTAAAAGTGCGGACATAAATCCGATTGAGATGTTGTGGCATGACCTTAAACAGTCCTTCATGCTGGAAAACCCTCCAATGTGGCTGAATTAAAACAATTCTGCAAAGAAAAGTGGGCCAAAATTCCTCCACAGCGATGTGAAAGACTCATTGCCAGTTATTGCAAACGCTTGATTGGAGTTGTTGCTGCAAAGAGTGGCACAACCAGTCAGTAGCCCCTCACTGCATAACACAAGATCCAGGGGGCATGGTTGGATCCACATCTAGGGGGTGGCGATTGGTAGGTTTAGGGGTGGAGATGGGTGGGTTTAGGGATCAGGGGGTGGAGACGGTTAGGTTTAGGTATATGTAAGGTGGGAGGAGTTGAATCTGGATCCAACCACGCCCTCTGGATCTTGTGTTTTGCAGTGAGGACCATCTCCAACCAGTTATTAGATTTAGGGGCAATTACTTTTTCACGTAGGGCCAGGCAGGTTTGGACAGCTTTTTTTCCTTAATAAATGAAATCATCATTTAAAAACTGCATTTTGTATTTACTTGCATTATCTTTGTGTAATATAAAAATTTGTTTCTGAATTTGATCTGAATCGTTTAAGTGTGACAAACATTTAAGTCAGGTCAAAGTGCCTGAATAATTTGCAATTTTTTAACAGTTTTACTGGTAGTCCACTGTTTAAAGAATTTTTGGGTATAATACGTCAAAGTTTACTTTATTTTGCTATCCTCACTAACATAAATTAACTAGTGTCCTGCACCTACTAGTAAAAAAAAGTAGGTTTGGTTTGACTGTATATATATATATATATATATATAGTGAGAGAGAGGGAGAGAAAGTGTGTTAGTAAGGTTGAAGAAGAGGGCAGATTGATGCAGCAAGGGCATTATGGGAGTCTCTGGCTCATGGCCTCATGGTTATAGGTGTCAGTATGAGGAACAGAACAGGAAGGTGCATGTGTGTTTGACCTTTTTGGGGATAAAAGGTGTTAGGGTGAATAAAACCTACAGCTGCCCAGTTATAACTAGGACACAATTTATAAAATGCTTAATGGCCACATATGAAAATTTTACCTAACATTTACATTACATTTACCACATTTTACCTAACAAAGTTATTGATACATCAAAGCCGCATCCTCGTTGCCAGTCTAAAAACTGGTTTTGTGAAACAACCGCGGCCTATTTAGATTGGAAATGGAGGCAGGCCAGTGAATAGTATGAATCCAGGCCACCTCCTGCGTCTATGGGGGGCTCACCGCTTCCCTGCCTGGGCTTGGCAACACATCACTGCATCGCACACGTAAGACACACACTACACACGGCCGCTTTAGCCACAGCTGTCAATCAAGCTGCCCCACGTCGGCTCGGACTTACTGGTGTGCAAATGGGCACTTCTTTCAGGAGGCGGACTGTCCGTGAACTCCTTCCCTGTGTGTGTGTGTGTGTGTCTATGTGTGTGTATGTGTGTGTGTGTGTGTGTCTATGTGTGTGTCTATGTGTGTGTGTGTGTGTGTGTGTGTGTGTGAGAAAGAGTGTGTATGTGCTCACCGCTTTCCTCTGAAGTCTCCTGGGTGAGAGGCTTTTAGTGCTGGTGGGAGAACCTGCACAGTACGGGCTTTCCTCCTCTTCAGCATCCTGTCAAGAATCAAAAAGAGAGAGGGAAACTGTGAAATCATGCATAGTACTTTCTTAATATGTACCCAGTTTTACTGGGTGGAATTGTCAATGTTTCTTCTTTACATTCTTTTAAAAAATTTACAATTTTTAAGGTTACGAAAATTTGTGGGCGAAATCGGATCATTTCAATAGGAATTTGCGCTATCGCAAGTAAAAAAAAAAAAAAAACTTGTTTAATCTTTGTAATCTCCTCAGATGACAATGCAGATACCTGACAGACGTTGTTGTGATCGTAAACTGTATGGATGTGATTACACGCTCAAGGAGCATTTCCCTCACCATTGTAACGCTCCGCTTTTGCAAGGTTCCGTGAAAAAGTTTCAGCTTTTATTTTCCTTTACACCCTGAAGAAGATATCACAGGTTCTTAAAGTTCGTCGAAATTATCCATCCTCGATCACTTTTAGTCAGCTTTGACGAAACTCCTCTCAGTTAGCACTTCTTTTCAAAGTGAAAGTAGCCTTGTCACCTGACCTGAATACAGTGCACTGATTCGCTAAAATGGACTTATCGGCTTCTGTTCAAAAACAACAAGGGCACTTGTCAGCTTCTGCAGTAAAACGTGAACTCGCAATGCCTTGAAAGTGGACAATACCGGCTTTTTTGACAAAATGTGTCAATTTTCATTTTGGGGTGAACTAACCCTTTAAGGTACAATCACATTTATCATTGCTCTGTGGCAAAATCTTTCAATAAGAAAACTTCAATAGGAATTCACATGATTTGGAGCTTAGCATGAGATCAAAAAGTTTCCAACACAGATTTCACTCACTTTTAAGGTAGTCGTTAGTCTTTTTTTTTTTTTTTTTTGCATTCACCAACAAAAATTGTTTGGTATGGAAGTGACTTCTGTTCATCGCTACACTATTGACAATGGCCGTTTTTTTGCCTATAAAATTTCTCTGAAAATTTGATATTTCCCTAATGTGACCAGACATTTCCTCACTTCAGCATCTTGCGGAGTAAAAAAAGAGAGGGAAATTGAGAAATCACACAAAATACTTAATATTCTTAATATTTACTCATGTTTACTGTTCAATTCATCAGTGTTATTAAAAAAGGTTTCCAACATTTTCCAAAATATCTTTTGTGTTCGACAGAAAGTGTAATTTGATTTTTTCATTACTTAAGGTGCGGTCACATTTACGGTTTCTCTGTGAAATTTTACAGACAAAATCTTTGAAATTTTACAGACAAAATTTTAGAAATTTAGTGGGCAAAATCCAGTCCAGTTAGAGCGAAGAAGTGCCCTATACAGATTTCTTCCATATTTCATTCAAAGTTAAAAGTGACTTCTCTACAAGCGCTGTGCTTCACGCATTGATGATAATTTTTTGCCTGTGAAATTTAGGCGAAATTGCCCTAATGTGACAACACCTTTCCTTCTTTTAAGCATTCTGCTGAAAATCACACAATACTTGTACCCAGTTTTATTGTGTGCAATTTGCTATGCTACAAGCCCATTTGAGCCTTGTACTGTATGATTATTTATACAAACGCAGGCACACCCAATAACACCGACTCATTTGAGCGCCGTCTTGTTCAAATCTGTTTTGGTTTAGCTGAAGCTGAACAGACAGCAGCAGCGTATCAACTGTGAGAGGTCTCGTCTCCTCAGGGCCGCCTTTCCAAGCTCCTGGCCTGACAGTTCACACCACAATTGCCTTATCAAAGACATCAGTGTTATGGAAACATACATCTCGTTACATTAGCTTTGAAGAAATCACTCGCTCACTGATGAAATATGCAAAAAATATGAAAGGTGGTGCTGGGGAGGGGGGTTGACATGACAGGCCATCGCCAGAGGCGCACTTGTTAGAAATGTACACTCCTGAACAAAGCATTAAGCAGGTTTCACAAGCCATTTAAAACCCTGAGCGCGAGCCATGGGTGAAGTCACGTGATCCATCTTAAATAGTGTGTGTGCATGAGCCTGTATGAGTGTGAATGTGAGAGACTGTGAGCTGCCTATCCAGACAGCATTTCTGGGGATCGTAGATGCTTTTGAACGCACAAAATGTTTGGTTCTGACAGGATGAGAACTCTGAATAACTCACCTTTTGTGTAATCTTGTCCTTCATGTCGCGTATTTTCCGTTTTGCATGATCTTTGGCCTTTCAAAAGAGAGAAAAGCTACTCAATAGCGGAACTACAAAATTTGGGAAAAATCAAACCATAACCAACAATGAAATGTTAAAAAAACAGAGAAGTCAATCACATCAAAGGGATAGTTCACTGAAAAATGAAAATTCTGCCATTATTTATTCACCCTCACGTTTTTTCTCTCTCCATACAATGAAAGTCAAAGGGCTCCAAGGTTGTTTGGTTACCACATTCTTCAAAATACCTTTAAAATATCTTCTTTTATGTGGCACATAAGAGGGAAAGTCATTTGATTTTGCTATTTATTAAGCTGCAGCAAGCCCTTTCAAGGAAAGTTTGTTTACTCTGCGACCATATTTGTAATGCTTCCGGGAAGCTATTTCAGGCATCCAAGACCAAGCCCTATATAAAAGAATAGGAGAATCCTGAAATCTCAAAAACTTTTTGCCAAACTCACAATTAAATTACATATTCTATGGGAACCGGAGTTTCTAACGGCCACTGCAGTGACGTGATAATTTTACCAATCAGCGATTGGCTCTTTCATTTAGAAGGCGGGGTATATTCTGCCATACTGCATGTTGCAGTTTCTCCCATTCATAAGTAACAGGAGTGAACTGTCTTTGTATATCTATAGTCTTTGGCTGTGGTCATATTTACCATTGCCTGGCAAAATTTAGCAACAACAACAACATTTATTTATAAAGCACATTTAAACACAATATAAATTGATCTAAAGTGCTGTACAGCGTACAAACAAATCTACTAATAAAAACAACAACTACACACATACAAAGGCTAAAGAGTAAAAATAAGATTTGAGTCTAGACTTAAAATTGTCCAGAGAAGGAGCAGACCTCATGATAGGGGAGACCATTCCAAAGACTGGGGCCAACTACAGAAAAAGCCTGATCACCCTTTGATTTGTACCGACACCGTGGCACAGTTAGAAGCAAGTGACTCGAAGATCTAAGTGCCCTAGCAGGACAATATGGCACAAGAAGTTCAGAGATATAACTTGGTGCACAACCAGACAATGCCTTACAAACAAACAGAAGAATTTTAAAATCAACCCTCAATTTAATGGGAAGCCAATGAAGGGATGATAAAACAAGGGAAATTTAATGCCTCGTTTTAGACCCAGTCAAAAGTCTTGCTGCAGCATTTTGAACAGCTGGCAATCGTGACAATGAAGATTGAGAAAGACCAGAATAAAGAGAGTTACAATAATCCAATCGAGATGTAACAAGTGCATGAATCACAACTTCCATATCCTTCCTTGAAAGAAGATGCTTCAACTTTGGAATAGATCTCAAATAACACTTGCTCTAATAACAGCACTAATTTGTTTATCAAAAAATCGAGAAGAGTAAAAAATCACTCCAAGGTTTTTGATTTGTTTGCATACATTAGTTGAAAGTGGACCTAACTGAGCTTCCAAAGAAGGAGACAAGTGTGCAGGACAATCTAATATTAAAACCTGTTTTATCCTCATTTAACTGCAGGAAATTATTAGACATCCATGTCTTAATATCATGTACACATTTCAATAATACATCAAATGAAACAGCAGTATCAAGACTTACTGGTAGATAAAACTGAGAATCATCTGCGTAACAATGATATGAAATACTGTATTCTTGAAAAATGTGCATCAAGGGAAGCATATAAAGGGAAAACAGTAAAGGTCCCAAAATGGATCCCTGGGGCACTCCACACAAGACAGGTGCAGAGGATGAGGAAAAATTTCCTAAATTTACAGAAAAAGTTCTGTTCTCAAGATTTGAGGCAAACCACTTTAATGCAGTGCCTCGAATACCTACCATACATTCAAGTCGATCAAGAAGAATCAATGGTCAAAGAATGGTCAATGGTGTCAAATGCCGCGCTCAGGTCCAACAATATCAGCACAGAGAAAGCAGCATGTCATTTGTAACTCTCAATAGAGCTGACTCAGTATTGTGTAATGATCTAAAACCTGAAACTTATCTAAAACACTAAAATAATCCAAAAAAGTGACTTTTAAAATATCTTCAACATTAAAAGTTTAGCAAAATTTAGACAGAATTTAGGCAAAATTTTGAATAAATTTCATTCATGTGACCGCGTATTTATGCTTAGTACTTCTACACAATAACTTAATCAACTTTAATTAATTCAAACTTAATTATCTATCAAGTTCTTATCAATAGCATTGCAAGAGTTCAGTGAATTGCTAAATGTAGACCACTTTCACTTAAGTAAAAACTATTAAATATTCCAAATATTGTGTTTACCAAAATTTCTAAATTGACCAAAGACACAAAATTGTTTTCTACAAAATTGTTTTTCAACACTGGAACCCAAACAACATTGGTACCTATTTAATTCCATTGTAAGGACAAAAACACTATACAGGTATATCACAACATATGTTATAATATACAACAAAATATCTTTTATGTACCACAGATGAAAAAGCAATACAGTTTTGGAATGACATGAGAGAAAATAAAGCACCATACTGTAATCCCACATTTGATTACAGCAAATATATGGAGTTGTTTTTGTTAAATCCAAGGTCAGAACTTACCATCTGAAGGTTTTTCACGACCGGTTTTGCCCTCTGCCGCTATGGAGAAGAGAACAGTTTGCTGAGAATATATCTATATAATATATATTATCTCACATAAAATTAACATACATTTACTGTGACAAATCATTAACGGCTGAATAAACACCTTGTTCCTCAAGTCAAAACATTTGTTTTGCCCCAAAGCAATGAGAAATACCTTTGCCATTAAAAACTATCAACCAGGTCTAGTCCCTTTATACGAGTGTGGCACCAGAGAGTGATGATCTCATTCTTGTTCTTGTCTGATTTCATCTCTCGTTCATGGGTAACATCGGTCTTTACCAGATGAATGCTGCAAGGCTAACACGCTAAACCTCTGAAATGTGCCGAATGCTGCCGAGTTTACATCCCATAGCCTTGACCGACATGACGGCGCCGCGGCCCTTTCTTATGGATTTGTGTCAGTCAGAGGACGTGAACTTTACACAAAACCTTTTGAAAAAGGCACTCCAGAGAACTAATTCGGCTCCGGCTGATGGATAGAAGGGAGGGAGAGAACGCAAAGAGACAGTCAAAAAGAAAACAGGCGCGAGAGACAGCGCGGAGAGAGGTGAGAGGAAGACAGCAGAGGGAAGGAGAGAAGAAAAGAGGGCTTTTCTTTTGTTCAATCTATCGAGTAATGGCTGTGTTTCCTGCCAGAAGTCTTGTGTCATCTCCGATGACTGGCTGTCACATCATATCAAGCCTGTCTCAACATCTTAACTGTCCCACGCCACAGTTTTCACCATCTTCCCTGGCATCGCATCTCCACTTTTAAGCGATTCGCTCAACTGGATACATCTCATCACCTCATAACCAACAGGAAATAATAACGGCGCTCAGCTGCTTTGGGCTTAATAATTCAGCCGAAATTAACATTAACATTATGAGCAGAAAAACGAATAATTGCCTGCTGCTTACCATCTTGGTGTGAATCCACTGCTGATAAGACCTCGAATTACCTAAAAAACAGTGCCACATTGGGAGTGTTAATATTAAATTCAAGATCAAATATTATTCAGAAATAATACACGAGATATATTACAAAAGATTGGAATCAGTAAGATTTCAATAAATGTTGTCTTTTGAAATTTCTATTCATCAAAGAAAAATGTACTACCTTGAAAATATCTATTATTATTTATTTATTTATTTAAGCACCAAATCAGCTCAAGGGTCATATGACAATGAACTGTAAAATGCAGCTTTGCAATCACAGGAATAAATTACATTTTAAAATGTATTTTAAAAAAAACTAAATTTCACAATATTACAGTACTTTTAATCAAACAAATGCAGCTTTGGTGAGCATGAGAGATGACAACCTCAAACTTTTGAATAGCAGTGTATGTATATTCAGAAATATATGATTTCCTTTTTTATTAATTCATAGTGCAACAGATTATAAATAATATTTAGAAGGAATCTGACAACTTTTAAATAAAAGAATACAAATCTACGACTTAGTGAAACAGCTACATTGTTTACAAAAAAAAAATAGTTTGAATAACTCATTTTAAAATAAAATGTCTTTTATTGGAGCTTTTTTTATTTTAGAGCTTGACAACTGCTCACTTTTGCTTTATTTGTATGGAAAAGAGCAGTATGGACCTTCTTCAATATTTCTTATTTTCACAGAAGATGATTAGCAAATTTCATTTTTGGCTCCTTCTGTTAAAATTGTACATTGCACAATGCCTAATGTTATTATAGCTACTGTTTCCTGAGAGTAAAAGTCATACAAGTGTGTTTTCACTCATTGAAAGATGGAGAGGTGGCACTCACTTCTACAGAAGCGCCCCTCTGTGATCTCCTCTTCATAGACGTCTGTAAAGCCCCTTCCTGCGTTTAATTTGGCCAGTCTGCCTTCAATGAACTGCCGTCATAAATTAAAGTAAAGTATCACAGGTTATTAAGGAAGAAGGGGGTTGGAGAACAACACCAAAACAATTCCATCTAGACTGCTCCAGACATGGTCACGGTGTGTAATTTACATCAGGTGATGGATTAACATGGCAGAGGAGAATGTTGTGTGAGCAATGCCTTTTGGGAAGTTTAATTTCCTCTCGTCACGTAGACGACATAAAAGGGATCTAATAAATATGCCTATTAAAACTAGACCTATGACATTTTATTTTCCAAAGTATGAAGATAAACTTTATTTGAAACTAGTTCTAAGTGTAACAAAAAAAGGAAACAAAATGTAAATTAGTTTTATATAACTAAATATAGAAAATATATTTCCTAAAAAAATATTTTCTGAACATAATCTGAATAGTGCATGTCAAAGCAAATGAAAAAGTCACCTCCACTTGAGTATTGGTAGCTAAATTGAAGGAAGGATGTGGGAACTTATATTGAATATGTATAATAAATACATTTTTGTATTTTAAGGATACATTAATTAAATAATTTAACGGAATAAATATACTACAGATAAATAATAGATTTAATAACGATATCAGGAATAACAATAAAACATTATATGAAGATATAAAAGCAAAAAAGATACAATATAGAGCACCTTAATAATTTGAACAATGCTATATGAACAAGAAAATATGGGTTTGTTGTAAACCATCATTTTATATTACTGATATACATATTTAATTTATTTTGGTCCATAAACTCAAAAACAAACTTAAAGGATAAAAGCAATCAAAGAATACATTAAAGATCTGCAGTTTACCCATAGTTAGATTTTCCAACATTAATACAGCTATGTGATGTACTATTTTTACCTTATGATTAAATTAAAAACTATTAAATAATAAATGCATTTGAAAATGCTTTGTTTTGTTCAACATCTAATCAAAAGTACCAGACAAATACTTGTACGTATGCATTAAAACAGTTCTTTTTATACTTTAGCAGCACATACCTGCATTTGTATTTGTATAAAATGTTTACATTAGAAATACTGTATATAACTTATTTCATATTGCATATAAAACACACATTGAAATGCTTATACACTTGAAAATAAAGGTTCTAAAAGGGCGTTTTTGCAGTGATGCCATAGAAGAACCATTTTTGGTTCCTAAAAGAACCATTTTGAAGAACATTTTAAAAGTCTAAAGATCCTTTTTCGACTATAAAGAACCCTTTTCTGTATTTGAAAGGCTCCATGGATGTTCAAGGTTCTTCATAGAACCCCTGACGCCAATAAAGAACCTTTATTTTTAAGAGTGTATGCTTCTCTCTCTCTCACACATCACTAACAAATCACATGTGCGTCTTGATTTTTTAACCATTTTTGAAAACATTAATTTAATGGGCCCACTGTAGTAACAGTGGGCCAGAACAGGTCTCAGATGTCCCAGTAACAGGGTAAGGACATCTCTAGGGGTCAGCACCTTTCATTGGACTCTGCTACAGTCTCTTTAATGAGTGATGAGGCCCACAGGGTTCAGCCTCAGCCACCCTACAGCCCAATTACAGCATGTGATCAGTTTAAATTAACACCTATCCGAAACCTTATCCTTCAGTATCTGGTTACAGACACACTCTTGTACCATTAATTGGACACTGCCTCTACCTATCTGATTGTTTTGGGGGATATTTAAAGATGGGTATCTAGGAACAAACACTTGATGATGGAGTTATTGTTGATTGTTTACTAAAACGGCACTTTTTAATTTTTAATGTTATATTAATGTTGCAAAATGGTATGTTCAGGGTAAATGCATTGCAAGTGTATAAAACTATATTAGTAAATGAAGTTATAAGTTCTTTCTACATCTTTCCAGCCAATGTTGCCTTGAAGTCATCCATTGTCGAATGTGGCACCATGCGGCAGTGGCGAGTGGTTACTTCTTTAAAAAGGGATGGTATGGCTTTTTAATTTGATTTAGTAGAGTTTGCATCAGGCACAATGTGAGGTCCCACGTTATATTAGGTGGCCTTTCTATACTGCTGCTATTAAGGTGGGATAAGGGTAAGGTTAGGGACAGGTTTGGTGGTATGGTTAGGTTTAAGGGTTAAGGTGTAAGGGATGGGTCAAAAGTGTAATAATAAATGCAATTACAGAAATTAATTACAGATGTAATTACATGCAGGTATTTTTTACAATACAAGTACAATGTAAAAACATGTATGAACAAAATAAATGCATTGTATTAAATGATTAATTTAAATGTAATTACATAGCAGTTAAGCCCACCTAATGTAAAGTGGGACCCAATGTGATTTTCAGTCATCGAGATCCGTCAGCAACAATACAGTCTTCCACTTGGGCGAACAATTTGCGGACAGCTTTTCTTGAGCATAAAATCACGCACATACCAACAAACCAATGAGAATGTGCAACAATTAAGATGATTCTTAGCCATAGAGAGTAGGCTCCAATGCTGCTCACCCAAGTTGAATGAATGAATGAGTTGGTTCCGACCATTATTATTATGTTAGCTTTATTTTATACTTCAAATGACGAGGGAATTCATAGTAACGCTTCTGCACACAGTTCGCTCTCAAAAAATGGGATCGCGAAACGGGGTCTAGTCAAAGCACATTTCTTCCACTTCTTGTATATGTGTTATAAAAGCTTTGTGATCTTCAAGTTCAATTATGACACGAACAAAAGGCAGCATCGCTAGCTGGGGAAACGTTTCCAAGCAACTAAATATGCTGAATGCAACTACACTGCATTGAAAAATACAACAGTGCTGTCTGAAGGTGTCGAGGGGGTAGTGATGAGAGTCTGGAGGAAGAACTGGTTAACCGGACCCGTGCAGACAGGAAAATGAGGAGATGCCAGAGTGCTGCGAGCTCTCTCTCGTTGGCAGGGTGATCGTGAGTTAGCATCAGGCGCTGGAAGACGTAGAATGGGGGGAGAGTTTGGAGACAGAAAGCAGGTCGTCATTGACAGACTTCCCCCGCAATCTCTTGGCAGCCTTTACTCGTATCTAGGCAGGGCTGGCCTCCAAGCGGATGTAGTTCATGGTCAGAACGGGGCACAGCGGTGCTGGCCTTTTGCAGTACGGCCAAGTTGGAGATAAGGCCTCTCCCGGAGCTACTGCACGGGCGGGAGGTGGAGATGTCTTTGAACTGCTGGTCACTATCTGGGTTTTGGAGGGAACGTTAGGCGGATGGTGCATCAAGATGGAGATGTGATTAAATGAGCTCGTTCCGGGTATAAATTAAGACTTTAGCGGAGGGGGAAGGAAAGAGACTCGATATCATGGCTATAAATATAGCTGGAGGGAGCCTTGGTTCAAGTGTAAGCAAGATTCCCTAAGAGTTACTGTGCAATATGTTGAAGACGTATTTATATCATAAAAAAAGCCCAAAACAGGAACATTGCAAAGTAATTTATGGTTAAGGCGGAAAACTGCTTCCACTCGTTTACACTCTACCTGCTTGAAGAGTTGCAGGTTCACGGCCATCTCAAGGAAACTTCTCATGGTGCTAGAGCGGTGTGCCACGAAGCTCTTCTCGCAGAAGGTGATTGGCTCTCCCTGGGGATGAGAAAGCTCACTTTAATGACTACAGACAGTCCGCTCTTGGCTAAAATGGCTGCAAACAGTGCTGCTTCATCCGAGACTCGCAGACAGATGTTTTGTTTGACTGCGCTCGCTTGTTTATCATCATCACCCATTGCAATCAATTACATCATTTCACTTTCTCTCCGAGTCGCATGAACAGATAAAAAAAAAAGTTGCCAGGAGAGAACTAAGGCTTGTTGGGAGCCCGCACTTCGTCTGTGTGCGTCAATGAGAAAAGATTTGAGATCCTGTGGGCTTGTGGGGTTGAAAATGGTTTTCAATGTAAATTGTTCATAAATCCTTCCCTGTGCAAATTTTATTGTATTGTCGCGTTGAAAGCAACTATGCAAAAATGTGTTCTTCTTGGATCTATGTTTACTATCTGTAAAGCTATTTTTACATATATTGTACGGAATATAAACAGAAATTTTACAATTGTTAATTAACAGTTTTCAAAGAAATTCTATCTTGTTGTATGCTAACTATTCGTAACTATTTGTAAAACTATTCTTATACAGATTGCACTGCACTGTCGCAGTGAATGCAAATTTTTATGTAAGAATGGTTTTGAGAACAATTTTCACGCAACTTCTTTCTGGTTGTTTCTACGTATACTGTAAAACTTTTCCTACAGTATTACATTGTTCCATTGAATGCAATTATTTATGTAAGAACAGTTTTCACAGAAATTTGTTTTGTTTTTTTCTGTGGACTATTCATAAAACTATTCTTACTGAATTGTCGCATTGAATGCAACCATGTAAAAATGTTGAAGTTGAATGCAACCATGTAAAAATGTTGTACTGCACTGTTGACCTGAATTGCATGTGACTGTTTATGAAGAATAGTATTTATAATAATTTTCACAAAAAAAATAAAATAAATACAAACTGCTTGCATTAAACCGCCGCATTTAATTGCATGCAACGTTTTATACAAGTATAGTTTTACAAACAATTTTCAAATAATTTCTGCTTGTTTATACATAATTTGTTTTTGCAAATCATTCCTATATAAATCGTTGCATTGAACTGAGTGTGACACTTATGAATGTTTTTTATGAATAATTAAAGAAATTTGTTCTGCTGTTTCTTTGTAAATCGTAATTTAGGGTTGTGCCGATAGACAATAGTATCGTGCATCGACGATAGTCAGAGATATCGACGGTATCACATGTCTTTGTCGATATTCAATATGATATTAGGCTCATTCTCCTATAAATGTATTAAATTATTATTATTATTATTATTATTAATATTTGTTGGCCTATTATAATTCGGATATTATCATCAAATTGCCCCGCTATTTCACTTCAGCACCGCAACTCACACACGCGCAAATAAGGATTAGAGCCTTTAGCCGATGAAGGAGTCTCCAACCACCAACAAAGACGTACATCGTCTGCCGATATAAGGTATTTCATTGCATTTTAACAAGTAATCTGAATGGTCTATATATGTGCAATATTTTAACCGAGCCCTCACTAACTGAGTTTAACGCCACAGTTATGTTAGAACACATCTCATCCTTGTTTCTGTGGCGGCGCGTTGGGCTCGTCATGGGGCGCATGGTCCTGAACGCTGTATGACTGATGTATCCGTTCAATTTAACTTTACTCCAAATATATGAACTTACCTGTTTTAAATACGTTTATATTTAACATGTTCGTTTATGTCCAATATTTAGTGTTAAACTGTTGGTCTTTAAAATAAATCTACTTTTTATTTTCACCGTTGACTGCAGACCTTTTAGATTGATAACGTCCGTGCGCTGATGCGGCAAACTTGTCACAGGATGCGCGGTCCTAATAGCGGTGTATGACTGTTTTATCTGAATATATATGAACTAGCTGTTTTACATATTTTTATATTTAACATGTTAGTTTATCAGTATGTTTGAAAGTATATTATTTCGATTATTGGTGCTTTCATAGGCTCCCTCTGGCGCGCCCGTGCAGTTTAAAACACCACATAGTTACGAAATAGCCTATGATAAGTACAGAGTCTCTCTCTTGCCCCCACCCACCCATGCACGCACGCACGCGCGCACGATAATATCGTGTATCGGCGATCTCACGGGCTGGCGATATGACGATTTGAAAAATTACCATATCGCCCAACACTATCGTAATTCCTACGTACATTCCTACGTAAATCGCATTGTGACTATTTTAGTGAAGAATAGTTTTCCACACAATTTTCATAATCGTTTGTCTGTTTCTATGTAAATTGTCCGTAAAATCATTGTTACATAAACTGTTGTATTTAAATGAATTACTTAAATATAATTTTTTAAATAAATATAATTTATTATTAATAATAAAATGGTTTTACTAACAATTTTCACAGAGACTCAACATGCTAAATATTCGTAAAGCCTTAAATTATCTCATTGAATTGAGTGTGATTACATGGTTATCAACAGAACAAACAAGTCTCAATCTTTTTTGATCTAATTATAATCCAATTATACATTTGTATAATTCACTTTCAGAGTAGCTAAATGGCATGGCTTAAAACCTGTCTTATCTACGCATTTGTTACCATCACTCCTGGTGCTTGGGGGTCAATAAAAAAAGAGCCCCATGAGGTATTGCACTACAGTGACCTATATAAGTCCATGATTGCCGACTCTTGCATGGGAGCCAATTATGATTTCCCTGCATTGTTTCATTTACAGCTCAGTTAGATGTTGCCATTCTGCTAAGGCGCTGATGGGAAAGCATATGGGCTCCATAAAGCAGAGCGGTATTTCACACAGATGATTCGTTGCAAATTGAGGAACCTCTTTAGATATGCAGCACACAGAAGAAAAGCCATTATCGCAGAACATGACAGTAATGCTGGATGTGTAAAATCAAATACCGCTATCGCATTTCAGATGCATGCAGGAGGAATGATGCATAAATTACTGATTTTATAATAAAAGATTGCAACTAATGCAATGTTTTCAGCTAAATAGCACTGCAATGCTGTCATTTCAAAGACAGATAGGTGTTTTTGGTCTCAGTAATAACAAAGTGAAATATTGATCAAAATAAAGCAGCACAAAGGCTGATTTTCAATTGTTTGACTTCTCAGAATCCTAATGAGCTATAGGGCCGACTGTCAAAAGAGCGCTCCGTATTCGAGCTTGTGTTTTAAGGCAAATGCGAAGCAAATGAAATGAAATGAATAAAAAAAACAAAAACGAATAAAAACAGCAGTAACCCCCCTTAGCCTTAATGACAACCTGTAGTCTCCTGGGCATTCTGTCACCCAGCTTCATGCAAAATGTTTTACTGGTAGTCCACTGTATGAAGAAATACTCTCCTCACTTACATAGAGCCCCGTAACATATACATTATATATATATATATATATATATATATATATATATATATATATATATAATTGTGGTATAACTACATGCAGAAAACATTTTGTCATTTGACAAGAAAATCTTAAAACAGGGAATTATAGAGAGTTCATGTTGTCATATGGAATGACCCAAAGAGAACCCAAAGATATTTATGCAAAATGTCATAATATTTAAAAAATAAATAATTTATTAATTCAAGTTAAATCAAAATGATTCTGGGAATATAAAGTTTTTTTATGCTAAAAGCACTTGACATTTTTAGAGTCATTAAAACGTTCGCTGAAAATAGTATACAATTAGAGAGAGCAAAGGTTAGTTCATGTTGTCATATGTCAAATGGCATGACCCAAAAATTAATTAACTACATTAAAAGGAAAATTATGTAAAAAAAAATATATATATATTTAATTTATTTGATGTTAAAACCAAAATGGCTGCAAATACGATTAGATGACAGACAGACAGACAGATAGATAGATATCCCCCATACCCCCAAGCCTTCTGTATTGAATCATCCAAGCCTGTCATGAGACACAGCGGTGCACAAACACATGGGGATGAACCATGAAGCGGTGCTTGATCCAGGTAATGTAAGGTTAACCAAATTGATTACGTATGCTGCGGCGCTCATAACCATCTGCTGGCAATTCATTTGCACGCCTGCAATTCACACCGAGCAGCGTGCATATCAATAATCGGTTTAGCTTCCTTCATTAGGGAAGATCAAGTGAGGAGCATAAACGAGAGCGTTTAGGTGATCGGCTGAATACCAAGAGGCAGCTGGGTTTAGGAACACAGGAAAACCACTTGGCTGAATCATCACTGACCCTTGTGGAAAGAGGTTTTTCATTCAGGCCGTTCACAAACTGTGGCATTTTTCCATATAGGAAGAATTGCATTTTTGTTGTCTTTTGTTCTATTTGTCTCTATTGGGACATGCCTCTTTTTCACAGCGTCCCTGAGCTGATGTGGCTAATACTCAGAAGCATCAAACAGGAAGTTTAGCGGCGCTAAATTAACAAGTGTCATCTCCATATTCACACTGGCTAAGTGCTTTTATGTTTATGTAAAGTTGGCGCCATATTAATATTTCATGTTCATGCGTTGTCTTTTTTCCCCTCACTTCTCTCGCTTTCCCCAAACAATCCGTTAAACAGTCTTCATTTTTGAAGAATCAAAGAAAGCAAAATGCCACTCACACTCAGGAGAATGTGCAGCATACCCAGTGGGCAAATAAGAGATAAAACAAAAGGTTGTGCACAAGAACGTCTTCACTATTTCTGTTTTACATTTAAGATTTCACACTATGTATTTATATTTCTTTAAAAATATTAATTAATTTGTTTACAGTGTATTTAAATTACATTTGTTTTTATTTTTATTTTCATGTCTTTTTGTTACATTTTTAAAATTATTATACAATTTTTTCAAAAAATTCTACTGTATCCATAAAATAAAAACATATCGTCATTTAAATCTGACTTACAAATCTTCATTAATATTAATAATTACAATTTTAAGCCAGATTTAAATAACTATAATATTATACAATAATAATAATTACTATTTAATATTTATTATTAATATTTAATTAATAATATTAAATTACATTAGATTTATTTAAATAAAAAATACATAGAATTTTTTTAATAGGTCTATATAACATACATAACATGCCTGTTCTGTATAACATAAAAATATATGTAGTAATTTAAATATCACTTAAACTTAAATATTTATACATTAAATGTTTTCTAAATTATTTAGAATATATAGAGAGAATAAATATTAAACAATTTGTATTATATATAAATATAGAAATTTTCTAAACATTTTCTAAAAATTTTCTTTTTTATCTAAATTATTTAATTTCTTTATCTAAATTACATTTTCAAAAAGTTTAATCTATCTATCTATCATTATGTAATCATTTAAATATATTCTACAATCGTAAATGCATATATATATATATATATAATTAAGAAAAACCTAGATACATTTCTTTCTGTACATTTTTTACATTTTCTAAAAATCTTAAACATTAAATCAATAATTATTTAATTTCTATATCTAAATTACTTATGTTTTCAAAAAGTTATTATATATATAATAACTCAATTATATAATCATTGACATTTACTACAATCTTAAATGCATATTATTCATATAATTAAATATATATATATATATATTTTTTTTTTTCTTTTTTTTTTTCTTTCAAATAAACAGAATTTTGTAATGAACATTACACTTCGATTTGCCCTCTGTCAATATTTGATTCACAAACCAGACAGATTCACAAAAAGACGATGCCGGTGATAAACTTCAATTTAATAATTGGGCGGCACAAGCATGGCCAATAATTGATCAGTCAGATTAATTAACCATGAGACTTTGAGCAACGTTAACGAGATGTGAGCGGGGGGGCATCAGAGGGAAGCTTAGCTCTACAGGTGATAAACCTATTTGGCAGTGACATTTTTTAGTGTAAAGTCATAAAGCCTATGATCTGATCAAAGGGAGACTCCCCCATTGGGTCCAATTATAACTATGCTATTGTAGGAGGTGGAGAAGGAGGGGGGAGAAAAGATGAGTTATGTTGAGTTATGATATTCATAATCTATGCAGAGAGGCCTTTCCACTATAGGTCTTCTCCCCATAGCTGTGATCTTTTCAATTTACATCAAGCGAGGATGGCTGAGGATGAAAGTGCAGCCTCCGACTCGCCGAGCCTGCGGAGGGCAAACACAGTCCCTCATTAAACTCTACTGCATGGACTCCCCAACAGGGTTTGAAGAGCGTCAAGTAAAGAGCACGGGGTCAGAGGTGGCCCTGGAAACAGATCTCCATTTAACTCACCAGCTGGAGATGATAATTAGCAGGTGCATCACTGTCTCCTGCTCTAAAGGATGAGACCATGGAGATCTGCTCTGTGGTGGGCTTCTATTATACACCCGAGTTTCAACAGAACACCACTTCTGAGATGCTCAGTCGCTCGCGCACACACACGCCGGCCCTCCTCGAGAGCTGAGCTGTTTATGGTCAAGGGATTTTAATTCATTGAACTGGACAAGCCGCAGACAGGCGCTACACACAGGCATATCCTCACACATATATTTTACACTTCTTCTGCCAGGCTTATAAACCGAGATCTGATGGATTTTGCAGCCTGACTATTTAGAGTGAATTGTACATATTACAAGAAAACTGTCATATTTTTATATTATTACTTAAAATTGTATGAGGAAAAAAAAAACGAAGAAGAGCTTGAAAAAGTGACCTAAAATACACAAGAACTTTTCAAAATGTGGAAAAAAATTAGAGAATTACAATGATTTAATTATGCAAATAAATCAGCTCACGATATCGTCAGGTTACACTGTGACCCTTTCGGAGTATGGCTGAAAGACTTCTTTTTTTTTAAAGACAGAGGGGAAAATATGTTTTGTTAAGGATTCTGTCCAGGGATGGAAAGCCGTTGGGAGGCAATTAGAGGACTACAAAGAAAAAAGAAATAAATATGAAAAATCTTCTGCTTTCTTTTGATGTGCACTAGGCTGAAAAGTATATGTACACGCTGAGTGAATTCTCACATCCTTTTAGAAAAACACAAAGACAGAATATTTCAACTGTAATGCTTAAGGATCGCTGACAAAACGTAGGTCAGTGTCGTCTTCTTAATATAGAACATACATTTCAAATAAACAAATAAATAAATTTAAAAAAACATAAAATAAAACTTTTTTTATCAGACATCAATTAAAAATGCCAAAAGATTTCTGACAAAATGCAGGTCGGTGTCTTCTTAATATACAACAACATACATTCAAAACAAATAAATAAATAAACTTCCCTAGTAAAAAAGTAATGATGCATTAAAATGCTAAAAAGTCTGACTGAAAAGTACATTTGAATGATTTTTAAAACATCTGCATTTGATTTCAGTCTGACACTGCGCCTTCAGAGTCTAAAGCAAAAAAGCGCCAATCAAGTACAGTTATTGTTCATCAACAGACTAATAACGGCGGTGCCTTGAGGGCTGGACACTGCATTAGTCCACTCGGGCCAGAAATGAGCCCCACCTGTCCCGCACACTACGGCCCAACAAACCGATCCTTTAAGAGGCTCCAGAATGGAAACAGAACGAGCGCTGAAGAACGTAACATTCCCACTTTCCCCCAACAGTAATTGTTTGGTGTGTCAGCTGATGTAGTGCTTGTTTTTGTTTTCTCTCGAATCCCAATTAAACACCACGCCGGCTGATCTCAGAGGAGGCGCTCCTCTCTGATTAATTTGTTAACCTTCATTTGGTAGCTTAATATACACGAGGTGGGTGTGCAAACTCGAATTGTCGCTGTTGATTGAGAACATAAACGATCAAACGCAGGAAGTACAAATATAAGTTGTGTGGAAGAGACGAAAATGGAGACAACCGGAATGACACAAGCAGCAAAGAAAAGTAAACAATAGATCTGGCGTACCTCGAACAAAAGTAATAAAGTCAAAAGGAATATTTTATCAAAACTGTCTCAGGATTGACACAGGACACAGAGAATCGCATCCAAATAAGACTCTAGCGCTGTTTGGTAGCACAATGGATTCATAATTTTCTATTTTTAGAGAGTTTTAATGACTGCACAAGTAAACACCCCATACTCTACTACCAAATCCAATTATAATTGAATAAAAAAACAACAAGAAGAAACAGTTGGAGGAGGGAAACACCTTCATTTATTTGTGAGAGAGCAAACTCTCCTTTTAACATGATTTCTTTTCTTTTTCGCTTTTTCGCAAACTCAACAACCACCCGTCATTAAAATCTCCTAAATATTTATAAATTGAACTAGAAAACTTCAGCAGCAAATATCTTCGAATACAAATAAAAATCTAGTTAGCAAAAGACAGTTAGACTAAAAAGAAATGAAAGGGATTTTTATTTCAATATTTATATATACGTCGGATCACAAAGTCACTTTATACTCAACGACACTAAAAAGTAACATTTAAAGCATCAAATTTATTTTGAACCTTCGTGTGACGCTTTCAGAAAGCGCCGTGATTAAAACCGCGACCCAAAAACACAATCCGTGGACTTTCAACCCCTGATGTTTCTAATAAAAAGGCATGTTTGAAATCACTCTCGAACGTTCGCCACATCCTCGCAATTATTATCTCGATTTGTAAAATCCGAAGGTTTGCGCAGAACGGAATCGCTACTGGCGTGGTAGCATTTCTAATAGTCAATAAATCTAAAATATTATGTGTGAAATTGGGAAAAACTGCCATTAAGTGACAGACAGCGGAGAGCACAGCATAGGGTCCCGTCTGAAAAAAGGGCCAGGTAATTCAGGACAACTGTCACCCCTGACCCGTCTGAGAGAGGGTCTAGTGGTCAGACTCCCCGAATAATAAAGTCCACATGGTTAAAAAAAAAGCCTTCAAACACTTAATTAGATGAATCTCAAAAGGTTCGGCTTGAATCAATAAAAGACTTGGGAGGAAAGAAAAGAAAAAAGAAATGCTCCAGGGTCAGTTACATTATATTTTGCTTTATAGTTGTAAAATGCATTGATTTTTTTGAGGCTAGAATAAATGTATAAATGTGTATTTAAATAACGAAAAGAAAAAAGTGAATCAAATTAATTGATTCAATTAAATTGAATCGACTTGCCCTTTTTTTTTTTTTTTTAAACACCGGTTTCAGCAAACACCATGTGACAGACAATTTAAGAAAAATAAACCCAGAGATTTTGCTCGATTTAAACATGTTCCTAGAGTTATGAATTTTAATATCCCCAAAGGTATGATAACCAGAGGGAGAGAAAAATGAATTTTTGCGGTGATAAATATATTATTGTAGGTGACATTTACATTCAGGTGGGGTAATTTAACATGATATGCAGAATACGTTCTATCATTAGTCAATGAAAAATTGCGCGAGAGGATCAAAGCAAACATGGAGCTGCCACTTAATTTATCACGCTACGAAGACAAAGAGGTTTTTTCTTTCCCCCCCGTCAGTTTCAAAAAACCCGACCCCTTTTTTTTTTTTTTTTTTTTTATTACTTACGACGCTCTCGGTTTGCAATTTAATTTACAAATGGGATGCCAGTGCTGAGATGGCATAACAGAACAGGCTGGCTTTTTCTGCTTGGACAGACAGCAGCGGGATCCACCGAGTCATATAGGAGTGTTAAAGCACCCCCCCAGTGGGACAGAAAAAAGAACGGCAGAAGAAAAAAAATAAAAAACACAAACACGTTTCTTTATGTTCAAAGGGACAGATGACAGACGTGTTACTGACCCCGACGCTGGATGCACTTCCTGTTGCACTGACCGTGCCATCTAAACATTAATTAAAGAGAGAAGGCGCTGGCAGGTGGCAGAAAAGCAGGATCTAATAATTGGCCCCCTTCTTCCCTGCGCCTTCAGAAAATCCAGGACTTCTAGAGAGATGTGCCACTGGGCAGGCAGAAAGAAGAAAAGATAAAAAAAAACAAAAAAAAAAAGAGAGCGAGAGATGAAGGCAGGAGTTTGAAATTCACAGAGATGGCTGGCGAATTGCGACAGCCGTTTAACGTCACGGGGCAAGTTTACAGAGCGCGGTTTTTGGGGATCCGCGGCTGCGTCTGCTAATGATGAGAGGACAGAGTGTGTTCCTCTGACCAGAGAAAGACAGTTTGTTTAAATGTGTGAACAAAGACGTTCCAAGAAGAGAACGGGAGAAAATTACAATCATGTTCCTGTGTGTGTATGTGTGTACAGTGGGCTTAAAACAAAAGAAAACAGAGTGACAACGGTAATGTAAGTGTGTGAGTGTGTGTAGGTTTACTTTCACTAACTTCTGGGAACAATTTTACCTTTAAAGTAAAGCAAAATTAGGGGAAACTTACCATTTGGGGAAGTCCTCATAAAGTAATTTTTTATATTTATATAAAATGTATAAACTTTATATTATATGTTTAAAAAAATTTTTTTTTTAAGTTTTCTTTTTCAATGATAAAAAAAAAAAACTATTTAGTTTTAAATAAAAATTATATTATAAAAATATATATTTGACAAATCTGGGGATGTCATCATTTGGAAGAAGGGCTCTAAGTAAATATTGTTTTTTAATTCTAAAAATGCACATTATTCTTTAATATTCAATAGTAATAACTGTAGAAATAATTAGGTAATTAGGTTTATACAAAAACAGTAGATTTCTAGGTAAACGTGTGTGTGTTTAGGAACACTCACCACGTCACTGGGCAGGTTGTGCAGGTCGTCTGTGGGGCTTTCCAGGGTGTTTGTGTCCACGTTCAGAATGACCACATCCTCCAGGGATCTGCTCTTTACTCTCTGCAAACGCAACACACTTTGTTACACACCACCCTGCCTATTCCTATTTCCTGTAACCATTTTAATAGCCTATATGTGATATATAAATACTCTTTTCAACAGTAGTTTATTTAAAGCATTTGTATAAACTAAATTTTTTTTATTTTGCTGTATAAAAATATAGTGAGGCTAAAATACATTTTCAGTGTTAAATTCCAGACAAATTCAGAGCACATTATATACTTTTTTTTCCCTTCAACAATGTCAAAACCTATACGTAAAGACTAAGCAGGCAAGATTTAAATAGACTGAGTTAACAATGCAAAAACCAGATTCTCATAAATGAAACCAGATGAAGCTTTTGAGTTATTTTCTCTAAAACAAAACAAACCTACTCCAAATTCACGCCACAAAGGTTCACAGAATCATTCTTGAAGAGTCAAAATATTCATTACAGATATCAGTAATCGATAAATAATTTAGAAAACCCACTATATACACACACAACTTTTTTTATTTCACTATATGTTTGTATTTATTTGTGACAGTGTTGCAACTATTTTCACTATTAAATATATACATAATACCTAACCAAATAATAAAACTATTCAGGCATGTTGAATGAAGCACCACTGAGTTGAGCGGTGTAATGCTTCCACACAATGGTAGTCACGGTAGTGGCGACAAATCCAATAATTATTCCTCCAGTGCAGGTGGGGGAAACAGCCAAGTGTGTAAAACATTTCTGGTTTGTCATTTTTGACAGTCGCTGCTATGGCGGCCCGTGTGCTGATTTGGTCTAATTACGTGCAGCCGGATTGGGGAGGGAGGGGTGGAGGGGGGGGCTGTCAGCGGGCGAACGTGTGATAAACAACAGCACTGCCGCGACTGTCAGCGCTATCAGATCTGTGCGTGAAACTATAGGTCTACCTCCAACCAACATGCCATTTCTCAATAACTGAACGCACCATCTCTTTGTTTCTCCGGCTCTTTCATTTCTCATGGGCACCCGGGAGATAAAAAGCAAAAAAACAATGTGTCAATTTTTGTAGGTTTCCCCGCGCTCAGCGATGATGCATCAAAGTAGATGGGCGTTATTAGCATCTCAGATGGTTTGAATCCAGAGGGACGGCTGGTTTTAAGTGACCCGGAGTGAAAAAGTAAATAAATAACGATGGTTTATGTAATATCGGAAAGCTGTGACTGGTAGCAGTAGTGCTTCTGATCAAACGTCTCGTAAAACACTTTAAGGATGATGAACGGCTGCTGACAGTGGATTTATGTGACATACCTCTAAAAGGCTGAGATGAACTCCGACCAGATATGGCATGGGCGCACTGGAAACAGAGACAAACCACAGTCATTAGCAACATAAAAATGCTTTATTGCATTTTAAAAATACTAATAATTCCAAAAAGTAACAGAGAACAAATATAACACCAGAAGCCAATAACAACAAACAAGGATCGCCGTAAATTGACATATCTTTGACGCGGCATGCATCACGAGCTAAACTTTAATAGCTTTCTCGGCCATTTCCCGGAACGAGCGCTTTTGAGCGCTGAAGGTGATTAGTGTAATTGGCGAGCGTCACTTTTGAGCGGGGCGAGGCAGGGCCGTGTAATTAGATAGGTTTGGGTAGCCGCTACAGTGCTCGCTCAATCAGGTTATGTGGCTAATAAGCTGCAGTCTCCCTCGCTGCATCTGTTAAGGCCACGGATTTAACTGACATGCAGGCACGCTGACACGCAGACGCGCACGCATATGCACGGGGTGATCCCTGTCACGTCATTGTTGTCCGTGAGTGTAACTTTGTTATGACAGCCTAATTCCCATCATTTCTAATAGCGCTCATTATGAGCGATGCACAGCCTTATAATATGATAATGCTTTTTTTGTATAATTAGATAGCTAAAATATGACAAATCGACTCGGATGTCTGTGCTGGACTGGAAAACGGCGATACTCTTAAAGCTGTATTTATATCAATGACCATAAATATTTTCTGAGGAGCTCTGGTGTCAAGCATGGCAGCACAAGTCCGTCAATTTAAGGGTATAGGGTGTTCTGGTAGCTATAGAGCAGGGCTGTAAGTTAAGAGTGTGGTCACGGTTTTAGCCCACAGTCGGCATACGGAAATCAGTCTGCCTCTCAAGCTGTATATGTTCCTGATGGGTAAAAAAAAAAAAAAAGGAGATTGCATGCTGGACTTGGTGTGGTGGCATTAGTGCTAATAAATCATGTCCTTCATAAACCCTTTGGGATCTCAGACATGGTGAAAGACATTCATTAGGATGAGGGGTATTTTAGAAAGTAGTACTGCTTGTTCAGAAGCTCCATGTTACTGAAGGACCAATATATCGGCCAGGCCAATTAATGGCCTAAAGTTTGGCTGAATTTTGAGAATGTACCTGCTTGGCCGATTAACAGAAGTCTGACTTTTTCATTTTCCTGTACTTAAATATTTTTTATAGTTTAAGGGAATTTTTAAGTGAAACATTGTGTAAAAGAAAATTACATATTTATATATAAATTATTTATTAAAAGTTGTAATTCATATTTAAATTTGATTAATTTAAATATATATATAATTTGGACAACTTTAAAGGTGATTTTCTTTTTGCACCCTCAGATTCCAGATTTTCAAATAGTTGTATCTCGGCCAAATATTGTCCTATCCTAACAAACCATACTTACAAACTGAAATTTATTTATTCAGCTTTCAGATTATGTATAAATCTCAATATCGAGAAATTGACCCTTATGACTGGTTTTGTGGTCCAGGGTCACACATATATATACTTTATAAATGTATATATACTTATAATAATTACAAATTATATATACAAATTAAAAAATATTTTGTGTGTATTAGGTAGGTAGGTAGGTAGGTAGATAGATAGATAGATAGATAGATAGATAGATAGATAGATAGATAGATAGTTTAAAACATTTAATCTACAATAAATAAATAAACAAATAAAATAAATTAGTCAGACTTATCCATGTCTGTTTTATGATATTAAATACATATCAATATCTGTCATTAAGCAGAAAGCAACATATTTCCATAGAACTGACTGCTGAAAGTTCCTGCTGCCCAATGTGTGCTCGTTATTAAATATTTTGGCTTAAGATGATAATGGTTTTGACAAAGTATGTAGTCAGATCCTAATCCGCAGAATTTCAGATTTCCCTGCAATCAGCGCAGAAAACATAATTTCTGTGAATTTCGTTTTGACGTACAAAGCAAACATCAATGTAAAAGCTTGATAAACTCACTCAAAATGCCTAAAGCACAAAATCATACAGCTCTAACGCAGCACAGCCCAAGCTTGAGTGAGATAAAAATGAGACATTTGTGTAAGTGTGTGAGACGAGCACAGCTCTTACCAGCAGTAATCCAGCAGGTGAGGAGGAAGTACAGGGATGAAGATGTGCTGCCAGTGCATAGGGTAGAGCATGGCGGCGGAGCCATGAACGCATGCAGTTAACTACGACAAGAAAAAAACAGACATGTGAGCTCCTTCATATGCCACCGTTTAATGCGTTATGCTTAAGGGAATTGCGTTTATTGTGGGCCAGGAGAGTAGGCAGCATTAGACAGTTACTCTTTTTATCTTAACATCACAAGCCGATTAAACTTGCGTTTTGTTTTTCGCTTTTCTGATGTTAAATGCACAGGTTCAAACCCAAAATCAGGGCATCAATCGAGGGCCTAAAAATACACCAAAGCACAAGGTGTCAAATGTGTAGCGGCGATACAAAATTAATGATGCTTTATTACTGTTATACACACACACACACACACACACACACACACACACACACACACACACACACACAGAAAATAATCAGACTCTACAAGAAGCGAACACTTAATTACGACGCTGGTGTGGATGTTTAATGAGTGAACACCCAAGTGACCCCTCACCACACCCTGATTCCCCCTCATGGCTACCTAGCAGCTGTAATGACCTGTGTGGCACACGCGCACACGCCGGAGCTTCCTCATCTTCCAGATTAAAATAACATGATTAAATATGGAAAAAGAACAGAGGTCTGAAGGCTCCTCTGGGACTTCATTAGGGCAAATTGCCAAAGAATGAAACATGAGTTAACCAAGAGAGACTGTGAGCTGTTGGAATACCATGGGGAGTAGGGGCTAGAAGAGGGGTCTTGACAATTGGAGCTTCCAGTAATGTGTGAACCATGGCTCGGAAGTATCAAGAGACCCCCCTGCTCACTGACATACACAATATCACAATTGACCACCGAAACCAACCAAGCTTGGCCGTGGCACAACAGCTAGCTTCAAAGAGATCAGCTTTAATCCTGAATCACTTCTGTATACGTCAGTGATGGGTAAGGCTGGTTGAGTGTTGTTGTTGTTGTGCTCGTTGAGTTCTGTGACATTGTGGTCGAACGCAACCTCTCTGAATAAGACGTGACCTATCGAGTCAAGAAATAGCACAGCTTTAATTAACAGTAATTTAGTGCCGTGCATTATAACATATGCAAATTTGTTGTGCAGTTCTCTGAAAAGAAAGGAAAAGCTTTAGTTGTGACAGATCTAATTTCGTCCGGGCAATTTAGAAGAAAGAAATGAATATTTATGGCATTTCTCACCAACTGAAGTTTGGTTGATATCAAAGCTCTGAGACCCGTTCTGTTCGAGAACCCTTTTTCTCAAGGTCCAATAAATGAATCATGCTGAGAGGTCATGGCACTGCAAAGAAACACTTTTTCGTCTAGTTTCTTAGAGGGGAACCCTTCCGTACCATGTAGAGATGGATAAAAAAGCCTAATGGCGCATTCCAATTAATTCAACAATGTCCGCAGACAAGCCCAATTGGCTTGATTTATTCCTGACTTGAAAGTGAAGTCGTGCCGTCTTCTTTCCAAGACGAGGGCATGAAAAGGAGGTGGCGAAACCTAGATAAACATTAAAAGGTGGAATTCAAAAACAAATTAACTCTTGATATTTTTCCCACATGAGCTGTTTTGCTTGCAAACGAGAGATTCATCACAGCGTATGTGATCCTGCAAGAAAATCAGTCATGACCTCCTTTCTGTGACAATTAAAGAGAAAGTTCAGAATAACTGTATCGCTGCCATTGAATCTCCAGTTGTACCCACAATGCACTGTTGGAGTGCTGCTCCTAATAAAATATTTGGCGGTCTTATGAATAATTAATGAAGACATGCCAAGTGAAAAGAAAGCCAAATGGCCACAAAAGGCAAGGTATGCTTGATATTCCTTTAAAGGGGTGCTATTATGCTTTTTCACTTTTTCAACTTTAGTTAGTCTGTAATGTTGCTGTTTGAGCATAAAAAAGATCTGCAAAGTTACAAAGCTCAAAGTCCACTTCAAAAGGAGATATTTTATTTAACAGAAATCACTTTTCAAAAACGACTCGTTTGTACTACAACGCATATTTTCCAGGATTTGTGATATCACAAATATCGACGAATGGGACGAGACCTGGTTGAGCTGCAGTAGAGAAGGCAACGAGTGTTATCACTATGTTGGAGACAAGCTAGCTTTCCCAAGGCAGACGAACTTAGCTCAAATAGATTTGATTTTGATGCAATATTTACACTGAAGCTCGCAGCAGGCAGCTATGGTAAGGGGCATGACATTTCCCG